GAGGCTGCAGCCACAAGTTCTCAACTGGAAATAGCTTGACCAGCAGAAAAGAAACAACCAGCAGATGGAAGAGAAACGGCTACTTTGTACTGTCACTGCCACCCTTGCCACAGCCAGTGTGACTAACCAAATGGGCCATGCAGCCTGCAAGTCTTCAAGACATTAGTTACATAAGAAAAAAAAATGACCTGGGCATGTAACACACAGTATGGAGTATCCTTTAGGAGACAAAGATTATTAGCTTTAAAGTATTTTCTCGAGATACAAAAATTACAATTTCCTGCATGTCAAATGTGATACAAATTTTAATTCCTCAATGAAAGCCGAGACTTTAAGAGGTTTGCTAAGAAAAACAGGAGTCACTGTACCTCTTCTTCAACAAGGAGTCACAGTATCGAGCCAGCAACTCGGGGGACTTACTGGACGACTGAGCCATCTTGGTGACAGCGTTGTTGTTTATGAAGCGCCCACAAGCCTGCGATCACACAAAACCCAGTTAGAGGGCCGCGTTGTCACCTCCTCCATGGAAAGCCACGTGCTGACATACCCACCTTGTCTAGGGCGGCCACGAAGCCCGCGTCGTTATTGAATGCTGACATGACCAGGGCGTTGTACTTTTTATGAACATCCAGCACTGTCTGCACGTACATTTTGGGATCCTTGTGTAGGGAAACAAACAAAAGATGGTCACTGGGGATTAAATTGATATACTTCTTCAATGTTAATGAGTAAGATCAAGAAATAGTTTTGGTTCCATTATCAAAACACATAGGGCATTTTCTTTATGGATATAGTAAAATATACTCCCCACATCTGAAATTAAATACTAATTTCAAGCTTGTATGAAAAACAGAGTGATTTTTAAAATTATTTGAAAAGTCAAAGGGATCACAGAAAACAACATTATCAAAGGGATAGCTTTGCTTGCCACTTTTTGTTGTTAACAATTCACATTCTGGACTCTGGGCTGGGGAGAGCAATCGGCCAGTTACTGAGAAGTCAGCTGGCAGGCGGTGCTGAGGAATGCAGGGTTCAGGGTGGGGGCCGGACCTGGCAGTGAGGGCTGACTTGCTCACTGACCAAACAGAAGACTCCATGGACTAATCAAGGGAACTAGGAGGAGAAAGACCAGAGCCTGGGAGACAGGCAGGCAGTTGGAGTCTATAGACAGAGAAACATTATACTGGGAACAGAATGGAAAGGTCAGACACGGGATTCTGGAGCGATGCAGAAGGAAAGTAGACAGGCCCAAGTGATGATAAGAACAGAGCAGCTGATGCTGAGGGACGGTCACAGTCCCCCCATGAGGTTGGTCCTATCTATATCCCCATTTTACAGATGAAGAAACTAAGTCACGGTTAAGCATCTGGTTAAGGCATTAACTGGTGGCAGAATCAGGCTGGAACCCAGGGAGCCCAACTCCCAAATCAGCATCTCCTCCAGGGCTCTGCTGGGAGACACGTGGGGGACAAGTCGGAGGACAGGAGAGGCTGGTGCTGAGGCTGAGCCTGGGCAGGAGAGGCCTGAGGGGCAGGGAGCTTAACTGGTTTTCAATTTCCTGACAGATATTAATCGTGAGAATTCAGGAATGAGAAACCAGAATTCCCCAAATTTTAACTATTCTGCATTTTTGTAATGATTTGCTTGTTTTTCAATAGTAATAAATAAACATTAAGAGCAAATCCCTGTTCTGTGATAAACTTACAGTAAGAGTTTCAGAGGTTTTCTATTATAATAAAAATGCAAGGTTCACTGTTACTATGAACAAATGTATTGTGACAAGATTAATCTCAATATGTACAGTGGCCTCTATCTGATACAGACATTTGAGAAGAGAACATATTAAAAGGGAACATACACAAAATAATTGCATACACAAAAATCATGTGAGGTATTAGAAGCTACTACCACATGTATTTACTACTTAAACGTTGTCTATCTTATAAAGCAGCAGCATTAACTACCCCATGTGCTCATCTTACTCTTGTTTGATGACAACTATTCCAGACATGGAAAAACATCCTCCATTCACAGAGCACCTCCCAAAACACCTTCCGGTGGGCACACATTGCACTCCATGTTTCTTTAACCTGAAAATAGTGCCTGTTGGACTCACTTTTGGTTTTGCTTTGAAATTACTAATGCTTTTGCCAATTCAGATTTTAGATCGCTTTCTGAGTTAATGTCTATTTATTTTACAACATTCACATATTTTATTTTTTGCATTTTTTGTTATTTACAAAGAACTTTATCCTACAGCAAGTATCCAAATACTAGCATTATTGGGGAGTATTAGAATAAGATAACATTCAAGGTCACACAAAACCCAGTTAGAGGGCACGAGCTGTCGCCTCCTCCAAGGTCAAGGTCAACACATTACAAAAACTGCACATTGAAATCATCAATCTAAGGACTTGTTTTGCTACTTCTCCCACGATCTCACAGGATTTATAGAAAGCATATTATGTACATCAACATGTCTGCAGACTCCAATTTCAAGATTCCTTCTAATACAGGAGGAGATGCAGCCAGGAGTCTGGCTGGTGAGAAGTCAGAGTTTGAATGGAAACTACTAGGGGAAGAGTGTGTGGCAGCACTGAGCCTTGGGAATCTGAATTCAGCACTTGAGATCCAGACAACAGGCACTTAGGAACCTGACAAGGGCAGATGGAGGTGGGCACACACAGAGGAGAGGATTTTAAGGAAGGGCAGTCAGCAGTGCCCCTTAGAGAAAAGGTAGACGAGGATCTTCAGGTGTTTCAGAGGGCACCACTGCTTGGTTATATAGGCAACAAAGGTAAGGAGCGGGAGGGAACATCGGTTGGATCAAATGCATTGTCAAGGAAATGAGGACTTTCAATGTTTAAAAAGTGAAGGGAGCAGTGACCATTTGCTCATGACCACTCTGTATTCAGTATACAGAGCTCTCCATGTAAGAAACCTGACACCACTCAGGGGCGTCCCTGAGGGAGCCTGTTCAACTCCCCACTGAGCTCACACTCCTGTCCTGGGGGCGGGGGAGGGAGCCTCTTGTCTCCCAGCTCCTGAACCTCTCTCCTGGATTGCTCTCTCCATTTTCCTTTCCTTTTTTTTGTTTTTGAAATTTTATAATAGTTTATTTGAGTCAAACTGACAACATACTAGTACACTGGGAAGAGAGATCTCAAATGATCTGCTTCCATTTCTTTTCTTTCAACTGCACAGTGTGGGGAAAAATTCCAGTATGTTCACAACGACAAAGAATAGTAAAATGCACCCCCTGTGCTCCTCACCCAGCTTCAATAATGAACAAACACAAAACCCGTCCATTACAAAGTCTTTCTTGCTAACCCTCTCTTCCCTCCACCCCACCACACTACCCATATCATTCTCCATCTCAACTACCTACCAACCTAACTGGCATACTCACAGCCACTTTCATCCTGTCAGTCCATTTCTACACAATACTGAGTTTTAGAAACAGAAATCGGCCTGGACCCCAAGGTTTCAGGTTCGATCCCTGGTCAAGGTGCATACAAGAATCAGCCAATGAATACATAAATAAGTGGAACAACAAATTAATGTCTTTCTCTCTCCCTTCCCCTCTGTTTCGGGG